GGGGAAGAGGGGGAAAGAGGGGGAAAGAGGGGGAAGGAGGGGAGGGGGAGGGAGGGGGAAAGAGGGGGAAAGAGGGGGAAGGAGGGGAGGGGGAGGAAGGGGGAAAGAGGGGGAAAGAGGGGGAAAGAGGGGGAAAGAGGGGGAAGGAGGGGAGGGGGAGGGAGGGGGAAAGAGGGGGAAAGAGGGGGAAAGACGAACCACGAACGAGTGAAGCTGCTGCCGGGGCAAGAGTGTACCAGACGTAGAACTGACCGAAAGGCGTCCCTGAAGACCGCGACCTGGGGATGACGAAGTGAAGATGATGTCGGAAAAAACTACCTACCTAAGCCGCCAGGACTAAAAAAGCAGAGAAAGCAGTAATGCCAAGCCGTAAAGAAGTAGGTGTAGAAAAGTAGATGTAGAGGCTGCGGCGGAGAAGTAGTAAAGCACTGATGTCGTAAAGCTGGAATAAAGATTGCTGCTGGCCTGGAGAACTAGCTGATTTGCTGGTGGATGATGAAAAGCTGTCGGTATACCGACAGCTTGACGCCAACGCGATATACCGAAAAAGCTCGAACCTCCCTTTGGACTCCTTTGGGAAGGAGGGGTACGCTGATGGAGCTGATGGTGAGGTCAGGGAACATTAGGAACCGGTATCACATTAACGTTTGAGTTGATCTGATGTTTATCCACACTTACCCAACTCCTTGTCCTCTAATTCTCCTCTCCCCCTTCGTAACCACCAAATCCGCCAAGTTCTAATCCCCCTCCTCCTCCTCTGTTTTCCAAACTACCCTCCCCTCCCCTCCCCACCCACCCACATACATACATACATACATATGTACATCCACACACGCCAGGTAATGATACCCACTCAGGACCAGTTTAGGGCACCCCTGCCCCCGGCAGCCATCGGCACTGGCGGTGGTGGCGGCGGCGGCAGTACCACTGGCGGTGGCGGCGGCGGCGGTAGCAGCAGCAGCCGTGGCGGCGGCGGCGGCGGCGGCGGCGGGGGGTACCAGGAACACCCGGGTACGGCCGGCGGCGGCTTGGTGAAGATTGCCGGCATCAGAGATGAGCTAACCATTTTGCACAGCTTGATGGTGGGTACTACTGAGGGTTTGGGGAGTTTGGAGCACGCAATGCCGCTGCTGTTACCTATCTCCTCGCTTCCGTTTCCTTCCTCTTCCTCCTCCTCCTCCCCCCCCTCCTCCAGCTCCACCTCTCGCACCCCCGTGCAGATAACACACCGCTTCATGTTGAACTGGACCCTGCCGTATGTGAAAAAGTGACTTTTGAAAGATTTAATTGACCTGCACAAAAGCAAATGCTGACATAGCGACATACTGACATAGCGACATACCGACGTACCGACATACTGACATACTGACGTACCGACATACTGACATACCGACATACAGAAACCCAAGAAGCTCACCTTCGTGGGGACTGACGGAGCGGAATACTCCTTCCTCGCCAAGCCCAAAGACGACTTGCGGAAAGACTACAGGTGAGGTGGGCGGGGGGGTGGGGGGGGGTTTCCGACGGGGGTGCCATTCCTATGTGTGTGTCTGTTTGTCTGTGTGTCTGTTAGTCTGCGTGTGTGTGTACCTGCGTGTGTGTCTGTGGAAAGGGGAAGGGGGGAAGCCAGGGGTGCGGGGCCAGGAGATTCTAAAAGGGAGTTGGAAAAGGCCCTTAAAGATGCCGCCCTAACGACACATGCGTACGGGTGTTGGGGACAGTTGCTAGCGTTTGCTGAATGGAGAATTATAATTCGGTGGGAGTTGGGTAAACCCCCTAACTCCCCACCCCCCACCCGCGCATAAACGTAAAACCAAAAATCCAAAATAGAATAAAAATTGAATTGTTTTCATACATACACATGCATACGCAGGCTTATGGACTTCGCGGGGCTGCTGAATGCGCTGTTCGGGGGCCACGCGGCCTCCCGCCGCCGCGACCTGCGCATCCGTACATATGCGGTAGTGGCGCTCACTGAGGACTGCGGCATCCTGCAGTGGGTGGACGGCCTCAAGCCGCTCAAGGCCGCCATAGAGGACGTGTATGTGGCGGAGAGGGCGATAAATAGGAGGTAGGGGGCAGGGAGCAGGGAGGGGGGGGTAAGAGCATGGAGGGGCATGGAGGGGCATGGGGGCCATGTCTTTGGAACGCTGCTTGGGGACGCTGCTTAGCTTGAGAGAAAGGAAGTCGGGGGGAAAGTCGGAACAACCCAACCACGTCGTGGGCAGCTGTGAACTGGTAGAGCAGGGGGGAATGAACGGGGACTGTGTGTGAATATATGTATGTATGTATGTGTAGGAGTTACGAGCAGACTGTGGCGGTACGGGGGATTTCCCCCCGCGGAGGGTTATGGGGTGGGGGAGAGGGGGGTTATGGGGGGAGGGGGCACAGAAAGTTCGGTAATCCCACAGCATGTTCGTACTTAATATATAAACTACACATGCTATATATGGTATTATATAAGTAGTACCATTTGGTATTATATATACTACATATACAGTATATACACACACGCATCCACACACTCCCTCTTTGTGCCCTCCCCTCCTTTCCCCTCCTCTCCTCTCCTTTTCCCCCCATGCACTCCAGAGAGTGGATTGGGTGGATTCGGAAGCTATGGGAGACCTGGCCCGAGCCCTCCAACAAGGCCAAGCTGCTGTCCAAGGTTCTAGAGAGGCTGCCGCCGCGCCTGCACCGCTGGTTCCTGACCAGCCACCCGGAGCCGGCGGCCTGGCTAAATGCCAGAACCAACTTCACGCGGTATGACAAACCAAGGAGTTTTACATAGCGGTTTTAGCGGTTTTAGCGGGTTTTAGGTCTGAAGTTTGGGGGATATATGATCCCAGCAACGTTACCAAACTTCCCATTCCAAACACACTACGCCGAATTCATCCCACCCCACCCCACCCCACCCCACCCCACCCCACCCCACCC